CTCCCTCGACACCTCCCTTAGAACTTTGTCGCCCAAGCTCAGGATTATCAAATTGTGGGCCTTGTCCAGTATGCCGATCTTCTCTTTCTCGGTCATGTCGGCCGACAATGCTGCCGACCCTTGCAAGGCTTCTGCAACACCCTGCTGGACCAATAGAGCTCTTATCTTTACTCTCCATAGGCCAAAGTTGTTCTTCCCATTGAATTTCTCAATGTCGAATTTGAGGAAACTCATTGTCGTGGCTAGGATTTCTTCCAATGAATTCTACTTGTTGCCCTTCTAAGAACTAGGTTTCTCCCCGTGAACTCTACTGCCTTCGCCAACCGGACGAAGAGTACCGATCCCTTCTGGCAGAGATCACACCTGTTCAACGGAAAAAAAACTTCATGTTCTGTGCTCGTGCCTCCTTCGCGCAGGCACTCCTCTGCGTCCAGGGGAACAAATCAGGAATTCCTCCTCTGTCTGTCGCACGAGAATAACTGCCTCTCTAGAGCCGTCGCGCCTTGCCAAACTGCTCAGGTCCTTGTGGCTGCCTGTGATGCTATCCGGCTCCTCTGTTTGTGAATGTCAAACTCCTCTTCTTCGTCGCTGCCCGCAAACACCTTTACGAAGACAAAGCTTCCACTGCTCACCGAATCTGTAGCGATTCGGCTGCCTGTGATGCTATCCGGCTCCTCTGTTTGTGAATGTCAAACTCCTCTTCTTCGTCGCTGCCTGCAAACACCTTTACGAAGACACCTCTAGCCAAGTAGTATGGATCTTTCCCCATCTTTCCACAGACGGCGCCAATTGTTGTGAGATATGTACTTCCTGGCATTGAAATGAGACGAAAAAGAACACAAGCAAACACAGATCGTTTACGTGGTTCGATCCAACTGGATCTACGTCCACGGGAGGGAATCAATCAAATATTTTACTAAGGCAAAAGAAATGGAGAATACATAGCTTATACATAGAGATGAGCCCTCATCTTCCTTCTATGACCTCCCTCTCAAGCGACACCTTGATACAAGGCCTCAAGATGCTCTCCTCCTCTCTAGCTCTCTAGCTATTCTCTCCTCCTTCGTGGTAGCTTAAGATCTCTTCCCTTGCTCTCCTAAGCCTCACACCCTCTCTATTTATAGAAGTAAAGAGTGGTAGGTGAGCGGTACCACATTACAAAAATGTCCTTTTTACCTTAGTTCAATAATTGGGGGTCAAAACAACAAATAGGGCATAGGTGGGCCACGCCAAATAAGAATTATCTTCTTAATCAATTAAATATGGCAATCTAATCTCAGCCTGTAAATACACATCAAATCCTGATACATTTGAAATTCACGGATACATTTCTCTTTACTTCTCCGAAAAAGGATAATAACATACATAACACCCTAGAGTACATGATTTTCATGCAAAAACATTCATTTTTCAATGCTAAACGCACGCTACATATCACTTTTATCTTTTATCAAATGCCACTTCGTAACCATTTTTTAATTCATAAAATCAGGATTGGCTTAAATCAAATCGTCGTCCTTTCCTGTGTATCCTTGGCAGTCTTTTAAACAGCCAAAGAGGTTGAAATGAGACTGCCAAATGATGTGGAGGCTTTTTTGGATCTATTCAAGGACAACAGACACCCTAAACCTGCAAGATAAGAAGCTACGATATCTGCTATGGGAGGTGGAAGGAGAAAGAGGGAGAGAGTGAGTGAGAGAGAGAGAGAGAGAGAGAGAGGATGAAGGTGAGAGCGAAAGCAACCAGAGCTAAAAATTGATGTAAGATGTTGCAATGGCAGTTAATTACCCAGGCTTGAACCTTGGAAAGAGTTAGAAGTACTAACTGGAAAGTATATAATGTTAAAGATTGAATTCCTAAATCATAACTTTATTTCTAGCATTTGATTTGGTCACATTGATTATATCACCTGAATAAAAAAAATAACCATCAACATCAAACCAGCATTAACATATAATCAAATTATTATCAAATGTAGTTTATTTCTTCAGATAATTGTAGATAGCCTGAAAATGAGCTGTAGGAATGAAAGCAGGGAGTAGTACTATCAAACGCAGGAAGGATATTTTTTACTCATTAATACATAGAAAATATGAATCTGGCCATTTTCTCGGTGTGCTATGTGGCATTCACAGTTTAAAAAACTATGAAAATTATTCTTCTAAACATTTTTGCAATTACAACTCAATCTTTTTATTTTTTGATTGCTTGGCGCCAGTTTTTGTAATGCTAAACCAGATGATTTATGGATGGTCCTAATTCCATCTGCCGCACTTAAAAAAATAGACAACAATAAACTTAAAGCTCCAAAAACAATTTTCTGAAGTAAAAAGATCAATTTTTTAAATAATATAGGGGCCAATTTAAAGATTTGAATTAGAGGCGAATACAGCATTATGGCTAAAGCAATACTTAAAGAGTACTTACTTTGTTAGTATACCTCTTAGAAATGGTAGTTTCTGCTGTAATGTATCTAGCTGTGTAAGACCTTGCACAAATGTTACTGGAATGAGAAACAAAAACAAAAATAGAATAGTAGCCACAACTATTGATAGTCGGCGAATCCAAAGTTGCCTGTATGGTATAGAAAGGTTTGACCAGAGTAGGTCATCAGGTTCTGGAGCCAAATCAGTAACCCATAACATAGGGTTTGATGATTGAAGAACTCGAGAAGCAACAACTGCAGCATACCGTGTTTTGAAAAATACCAATGCAGCTGAAGAATCCTGAGGATATATTTAAAAATGAATCAGACTAAATCATAGATTGATGATGGAAATGTCAATTCAACTCAGAAGAAACTTGGATAGAGCCATGGCTGATAAGGAGAGCAGAATCAAACATTAAAAAGAATTATTGTGACTTGCTAGGAGCATAAGAGATTATACTATTTTGTGATCAAATAAACTTCTAGATGTAATCATCCCTTTCTCCCAAAAATTGATTTCAAAATTGATGATAGCAAGTTAAGAAGCCAATTTTTATATAATGGAATATTTAAGAAAGTTTGATGAACATGCTTTTTTATCACAATTCTGTCCCCTTTATAATCTTTATCTTTTTATTATTTTTCACCATCATCCTTGAAAGGATTCTGCTTTGAAATACCAATGCAGATCCACCCAATTGAGATGATAACAAACTGCTACCTCAAATGACCTACTTTACATCCAATTAAACTCAATTTGTTAAAACAATTCTCAAGTAAGTTCAAATTAGCTCCATCAACTTTGAGACAATGGAAATAATTTTCATTAAAAACTTGGGCTTATATAGAGCCTTACAATTTTGTTTACAAATAAATCCATGGACTTCTTCTATCTTCTATATTTCTCTTATTTACAAATAGGACCCTAAACTATATACAATTCTCAACACTCCCCTCAAAGAATGGACAAAAAATATCCACTAAGCCCATCTTGTGACACAACCTAGATAGATCTAATGAGATAAGTTATGAGGCAGTCAACTACTTGCTATCTAGTAGCTACCTGACTTATCTCCATAAGTTCGCTATTCAGTTTCTCCTTGATGCAGAATCTATCAATCTCCACATGCTAGGTTTTATCGTGTTGTACTGGGCTGTTGGCAATGTCGATTGTTGACTTATTGTCACACCACAACTTCAATTGAGCTCCTTGGTTCACCTAGAGATCTACCAATAGAGCTCTTAGTCATAACATCTCGGCAACTCCTAAGTCCATGGCCCTGAATTCTGCCTCTGCCATCGACCTCGTAATTACCGACTGCTTCTTGCTTTCCAACAGACCAAATTGCCCCTTACGAACATGTAGTACCTTATCGTGAACCTCCTGTCATCAGCACAACTAGCCTAATTGAATCACAGTAACACTCAATGCCTAAATCCTCATTTTTTTTAAGATTAACCCCCTTTTATTTTGCATTTTTTAGATACCTCAGAATCTGATACACTGCATTCATGCGACCCTTCTTTGGAGCGTGTCTGAATGAGAATTTAAAAAATGGAGGAAAGAGGGTGGTTGATTCGTAAATAGCAACTTTAGAGTGGTATGTATATATTTATTACTATTCTTCCTTCTAAAATTGTGTATGAAAGCCATCCCCTTTATCTGCTTTGTGGCCTTGTTTGATTGGCACTTTATATATTTCACAGTGAAACTTCTTAGGTTAGCTAAAGAAACAGATATCAATTTCTTTTATGAGAAATTGTATTCTTCAAATTCCACTATGAGTACCTACCTAAAATTATATTAACGTTAATGGTTGTTTACCAAAGTCTTTAGATGCATTTACAAACATACCACCCAATTCTTATCCATTCACATATCCAACCCCTAAACTTTACTTTTATATTTATATACCTAACTCTCTTATGTCATATGAAAATAATATCACTTTGTATTCCTTCTTGTATATAAGTAATGTAGCACAAAAGTAAAAAAAAATTGAAGTGTTAGATATGCGAAAAATATGGGAGCTGAGTGATACATATGTAAATTCTTTTAAAATCTTCTTAACTTTTACAATGTCAATTATTGGTTTTATTGATTCCTTCTCCTTTTATATATACATGAAGCAAAGTATTTCAAATGGTGAAGGAACTTACATACTCTCAAGTCACATGTAAATTCCTAAGTCAAATCATCCAAGAAATGAAAATCATAATATCAAACGGCTTCAACTGATTTATAGGAAAATGAACTCATCCTACCCGATTAAAAAAAGAATCGGGTGAGACGAAACTATGCACAAAATCCATCCAACATCGCAAGAGAACAGCACAAATCCAATGGTAAAACTGAATGCAGCAAAGGAGTGAGGGGTTCTCACAAATCTACCAATCAAGTATTGCGCAAAGCATAAGAGACAGCCAAAGATCCAAGGCCCAAGACAAAGACAGTAAAGAAATGAAAGAACCTTGCAAATTTATGGGTAAATACCCGATAAATTCATCCAACTTTAAGTTCTTATAAATGTGTTTGGTAATGATTCTATCAAACTCAGCAAAAGGATAGCTTAGTTTTCGTGCTTTGGATTACTTCAAGTTACAGAACTTGAATTTATACATACATGAACAAGTATGCTATTCCTCTTTATCTATATTTAACTGGATACCATTGTTTTACCATATCAATCACATTATATGATCATCATTTATACATGGATAGAGCTAGGGCTGCTATTTTCTAATATACAAGAATACTAGCCGAGTTTCTTAAACATAGTGATAATTTTTCATTTGGTGGGGGTGGGGGTGGGGGTGGGTCTATCGGGCCTGTATGTAGTTTTTTTTTCTTTTTCTTTTTCTCATATGCTAAATGAGCACTTAAATATTTGACTTAATGTATTTATGAGTACCTTTGAATTTGTTTTATAATGTTTGCAGCTTATACAAGTAGGTTTTGATGCTATTGCGAGCTATACCTAAGCTTGGTTTATATATAGTCAGTTTAGTCTTTCTTTTTGTTTAGATGGCTTAGTGGCTTTAAAAAAAGGGGATTCTTAGGATAGCAGAAGAATTATATACAAGATGAAGGATTGATATTGTGAAAACATTGGAATAACTGTTTATTTTGGTATAATGAAGCGAAACATCTAAGATTATTGAAAGTGCACATGGACTATCAAAGTGGCCTATAAATTCGAGAAGCGGGGTGAGGGCAATGATGTATACACCTATATTCATGCTTTTATACTGATAACACAAACCAGTATTCGATTTGTAGTTACCCTTAACAATTCCATAGGTTGCAGGCGGCTTTAATTTCAACCCTGACAACTTGTGAGCTATAGTATTACGATATTGAGGAGTGGAAATAAATGAAATACAATGCCACATGAAACACTACAAACATAAACACGATATACAGAGATAAAACACGCACAGTTGAAGATGCTTATCATTTATAGTTCAATTGTTAGTCAGCTGCCAGGGAGTTGTAGCTGCCCAACCTTAGGGTGTTTTGCTGGTGGCTTATGATCAATATTGGTATATAGACTTCAATGTCTCGGTTCATGAATAGCAACTTCAAATGCTAATTCAAACATTTCATCATAGCTCTATGTAAAATAATATTTAGACTGTGATAGTAATCTAACTAGGTTAGTTGCTTCATTTTCACCCAACAATGTGCTTATAAACATTTGTTGAGGATCCTCTATTATTCCCAAGTTTACTTCCTTCAATTAAACGATTGTAAATTTGATTTCTTTCTCAAATTCAAGGGGCGCGTCTCCAATTGGAACATTTATAAGCATTTGTCACTAAAGATTTTAGTGTCTTCTGTGACGATAATGTTGAGTTTCAAATGGTTGGTGGCGACTAAACAATATTTCATTTCTTCAGTCGATCTAATGACTATAAATCAAACACATACATTTGATTTATATTTGTGACATTTATTTTCCCATAATTCCTTGAGGTGTTGTGATTCATCTTTTGACCAGTGTCATGAAATTAAATCCTATTTAGCAATATTCTGAACATAAAAAAGAATACATTAAAACTTAAAGAGATGTTTGTATATTTGTAATGGTGTAAAAAGATGTTTTAATTAATTAAATGTAGTTTTCTTACATCCCACGTTTCGCTTCTTTCATCTATTCCTACTCAATATCCACAATGATGAAGAAGTGAGGAAGCGCAAGACGAGCTAGATGATGAAGGTGCAAAAAGCCTAATGGTGTGGGAAGAAGTCACGAGAAACTCGTCGATGAACGAACTGTCAGGTCTAGCAGCATGTGAAGGAGATGAGTTGGCGGACCTTAAAGTTACCGACCTCCAATCTCCAACCCCCAAAGCCTCCATAAGCTTAAGCTTCAGCAACTTCCAATGTCATCAATCATCCTATAACTTCCCGAACTAACTACATCTCTTGTATTTGGTTCCTTCTTTAGACATCCAAGCTCTCTGTTTCATCCAACAATCACCACCTCGACAATCCTCAACCTCCACTAATCCTCCTATAATGAGGACTTCTCTAACAAACTCTAACAACCTCACACCAACCTTTCAACTTTAATGTTGACAGCCACGACTACCTCTAGCAATGATCTTCAACTTTCACCCCTCTTCTCTAAGAATCATTGGTCATCAGCTAACCCTTCACTTCTCCAACCCTTCTCCATGTTAAACCAGCGACCACACCTCCAACATCCAACAATCTCACTGATCTATCCCATTCCTGCATCTTTCGTTAAGTCCCAAACTGAACTCTATCTCTTCCTCATTTTCTTCCCTTCATCACACTACCTCTCCCTTTCTCAAAATAGAGAACACAAAAAAATCTCTACATCTCTCTTTCTCTTTTTCTCCCTCTAAATAGAGAGAACATAGACCCTCTCTCTTTTGATCTCCATCACAACTCATCTCTTCAAAATCAGAGAGCAAAAATTCTAAGGAAAAAAAGAGAGTAAAAAAATAGAAAAAGCAAAAAAAGTCGTGTTCGATCTAGCTACCACATACTCATTGCTGTCATCACACATCCGTTGCGCCTCACACCCCAAGGTAGAATGAAAAAATAACTTCATGGAGTCTAAGAAATTTTAAGAATTAGTCCATGTCATTTCAGTATGAGCCTATATTTGTTGTAATTTTCTTGTGCATGAACATAAAGACCCATACATGATTTTTGAGCTTGTTGGGTTAAATACTCTTGTGCCTAAACTCAATGCAATAGAAGAAACCAATTGTCCACATGTAGATACCGAAGCCTTGTGCATAGTTTATTAAATATGTTGGGTA